TAAAAGTCAATCTGCCACAACCTGTAAGTACTACTCCAAACAAGAAAAGGTTAACATCAGTGTTGCCCAGTCGGGGTATTCTGGGTGGTATCTGATCCAAGTAGCAGGGCAGGACTGCATATTCTAATGCCCTTCCTTAGGAAGGCCACAGAGGCAGCCTACTCAGGAAAGAGTCTCATCACAATCGGCCCACTGAGGACTATCAACAGTGTTCTCCAAAATAACCTTCTGTTTAGAATTGTGAGCAGTGTTAGAATGGTTTAGAAAACAATTCTCCAGTTCCTGGTGTGGAAACAGGTTCAGAGATTAAAGGGACTTGCCCAAGGTCATTTGGCTAGTGAAGGGCTCAGACTGTTCTAGAACCCAAGCTCTCTGGCTCCCAGGAGCACCTTTTTTCCATTGCATCATTTGCGATAGCATAAAGAGATTTCCAGGAATTTTGATAAATTTTTGAACACGATTCGCCCTTTTGGATTCCACCTCCTTTACTGTAAGGCAGTGGTTCTCAACCTTTCTCATGACGCAACCCTTTCATACAGTTCCTCGTGTGGTGGTGACCCCTCCAACTGTAAAATTATTTCCTTTGCTACTGCATCACTGTCATTTCGCTACTGTTATGAATTAGGCAACCCCTGTGAAAGGGTCGTTCGACCCCCACAGGGGTCAGGACAACGCACAGGTTGAGAACCGTTGCTCTAGGTTGTCTTTTAGTACTTATCAAAAACCCTGCCTTTGGAGCTTCTAGTTTAGTGCAGCACTCCTCCAATGTCCCTTCTGTCATTTAGGAAGGACAACAGCAAACAAAGTATCCATCCTAATAGAGCACTGACGCACATGTTTGCTCTCCTGACAGGGCGCTGCACAGATCTGGCAAGTTTCCAGAAAGAGTGGCCCTGACACAGGCCCTTCACTCCAACAACAGCACACTCCCCTGCACTCCCTGTGCGCACCTCGCCCACGCCCTGTGGCACCTCTGAAGTCTTAGGATTCAGGAGGGTCAGCCCTGGGTCTGCTCGCTGGGCACCAAGCGCAAAACCTCTCTGCCAGCGAGTCGAGTCAACTCACAGCCACCGACCCTGCAAAACTGTCCTGCGGGTTCGAAGAACAGAAGCCTCATCGTTCTTCCCACGAGGGCGGGTGGCCTTAAGGTGCCAGCCCAAAGCACAACCCGCTGCGCCACCAAGCCCAAGCACTCCAGTGCGGCGCCCAAAGCGGTCTGAATCCAGACGAGGCTTGTTTTTGTTTTTGTTTTCAGAAAGGCGGCCCAAACATTGGACAGCTGCGTTTCCTTCCCCTCTTTATTCCTCCTCCGTCCCTGCCTTCCATTAGTAACAGATGTAAACGCCGGAATCGCGAGTGGAGCCAATTCGTCCCGCGCTTCCCTCCCTCGGCGTAGTAACGGGGAGCGCGAGACAAAATGGGGGCGTCACATGGCCGGGGCTTTTCTCAATTAGACGCCGCCGGAGGAAGCGGTGTTTCCGGCCCCAGTCGGTGGGCTGGAAGGCCTTTCTCATTCTTGGGATTCTGGTCAAGATGCACGAATAACACCCCCGGGGTGGGGTGGGGGTGGGGTGGGAGGAGGGCGGGGTACGATGTGGCTCCACTTTGGAGCTCTGGGAAGAAGTGGTGTAGGGAACGGGCCGGGCGAGGCGCGCGATCCAACGGTTGACAAACCGCCGCGGCCCGTGGCCCCGAAGACCCCCGGGGAACACCGACCCCCACCGAGGGCGCCAGCGCCCCGAGCCCCGAGCCCAAGCGAGGCCCCGCCCCCGCCCGAGACCCCGCCCTGCGCCCGGTCGCCCGAGCGCGCGCTGATTGGCCCTGGCGGGGACCAATCGGCGTCGGGCTGCCCCTCCAGCCCGCCCCAAGCTCAAGCACAAGGCCCGCGAGCCCCGGCTCGACTGCCCCCTGCGCCCGCGCAGCCCCGGCGGGGGCCGGGCCACCCCGGGGCGCCCAGACGGAAGCGGGGGCGCGGGAGGCGGGAGGCCTCGTGGCACATTCCCCCCGCCCCCCGCGGAGGGGGCTAGAGAGTGGGTGGAGAGCCCCAGGCCAAACAGAGAGGGAGGAAGGCAGGAAGCGTTGGTTTCCCCGGGAAAAAGGGAAAGTGCCCCGGCAGAGGGGGTTCGCGCCAGACAAAAAGGCCACACAACTAGGGGAGTCGAGACGAGGGAGGGAGGGCGTCACAGAAGCCATGAATCACAATGAAGAAAGAGAGTGAAAGGGCGAGAAGCGGCAAACCCTGGTTTGGGGGAGAGGCGCAGCAAAGAATGAAAAACGAAACCCTAAAGGGATGGCCTGCACCTTTCATTTCAAAACTCGCCGGAGAGAGGTGGGCTGCTTCAACGGAGTTGGTTCTTTTTGCCTCCTTGCGTGTGCCACGCACCCTCTGGAAACGGCAGGAAAGGGCACCAGGGCGGGAGAAGGCAGAAAGGGCATCCTCTCTAAATGACAATGCCCCGAGCCTGGTAGGTGAAACAAAGGAGATGGCGTGCGGGGAGAAAGGGGTACTGAACAGAAAACAAAGTTAGAGGTCACGGGATGGTGAGTGGGCGACCCACCACCACCACATCCTGAGCAGCTGGGCCAATGATCCCCTCTAGGGGACAGTGACAATGGACTAAGAAGCCAGGAGTAGGGTGTGAGCTGAGGAGTTGGGAGAAAGAACACATCCCAGCCCTCCTAGCATCTCCCCTCCTTTGGCCCTGCTTCAGGTTTTACCAAAGAAAGGGAGAGGCAGCAATTGCTGGGGAAGTTAGGACAACAGTGTTTTCCCACATTGAGTACTCTTTCCTGCTGGTCACCTTCAGGTCTGAGTTCTGCTCTTCTAGAGATTTAAATACAACAGGGCAGGGACAGGCAAGTCGAAGTCAGGGTGTAAGATGTGTTGACAGCAGTTGGTGTCCCACTTCAAACACACACACACACACCCTGCCCATCTCTGTCCATTTCCATCCTACAAATACACATTGGAGAATTGTTCCAGCATGATGGTGGTCCAAAGGTGATATAGTACTGCTCCAGGACAGTTAGGGATAGGACTAGATGCTGATTATATTTTCCTAACAAAGCTGATTATATTTTCCTAACAAAGGTTTTCATTTTTTTCATCTAAGGAAGATTTCATTGAGAGGGCCTATTTTAAAAATAAAAATTCTAGTGAGTCGTTGATTTTCCTCCTAGGACCTGTAAGAGAAAATGAAGAAAGCCAGTAGAAGACCCCTAGCCTGGTATTTCACCTTCCTGGAAAATCAAAATATTAGTTCTGATTTTCCTTCTTCCCCTTCATATCCCCCACTACATTATCCACGAGACAACACAGCAGGGTCAAATGCTGCAGCGCTTTCAGCTCCACCAATAGCAGGTGAAATAACCAGGATTCTGCACCATTGACGCTGGCAGATGTTGAAATACATACTGGTCAAATAAATGTTCCTCAGACTAGGGCACAGCAAAGCATCATCATCTAAATATCTGTATGCCTAGCTCTTGTTCCACAACGCAGTGAATAGATAGGTCACGTAGAGGAAATAGTTGGAGTCAAGGGGACCGTGACCACGTAGTAAACAAACAAATGCCTATCGATGGCAGCTCAGTGCAAAAATCAATGTAAGAACGGACACAGATTGAGAAGGATTCGGTGCTTGTAAAGGCTCAGACTGGGAAGCATATCTAAAAAGACAGTCACAAGATAATCACTTTGTCAGAATAAAGTGTTCCCAAACGCTGGAAACTTCTGTGTTGCCAACTCATCGCATTATTTGCAAACTACTCCCTCTTTTCTACCCACAATTATGGCCACTAGAAAACAGGCTTCACCGACAGAGAGGCAGGCTAATGATTTCCTATTACAAATGTTTTTCATTTTCAATGCAGCCCTCGCCACACAAGACCGAAAGCCAACTTTCAACATTTACAGAGGGAGAGACTCTTGAACTTAAAGGTGTACGACCTCTATTTCCACGCCTCTATTTCAGGGCAAAACCAAACAACAGTAAACCCAGAAGACACAAGTACTCTGTCTCTCCAGTTTCCTACCACTCTTTCTTTTCAACGTGAAAATGTTAAATCGTTTAACGGTGGTTCCCCACCCACCCACCCACCCCCAGGCCTCCTCGTGCTGTCTCTCTGTGGGGGCTTTTTGCAAAGGCAGACAACCACCACCAGGCAATACACTGGGATAAATTTCCCTAATTCTTCACCAATAATGGGTCCCAGGTGTCTGCTGTTCTGGGCACCTGCATTCAGAAAGGACCAGGGCTAGAAGCAGGGTCCGAGTAGGAATGCTACCTCAGGACTACTGGCTTAGGAACAAAGAGAAAAGGTCATCCCTAACCACCTTCTAGATCAACTCCTCAACAGATAGGCAGTGCTCTCTAAATACATGTCAGCCAATCCCAGTTCAGTGTCCTGGGTCACTTTTAAGGCAGGGTAACAACGGAGGTTTCCTCTGTGGCTGTTGTTAATGTTGTATGTTGCCTCCATGTTAGAGAGTAACATCCTCAAAGCACACAGAACAACCTGATCATATGACGATCAGGGAAGAGGGCTGAGAACTGTTGGGGAGAAAGGCTCCAACCTCCTTCAGTGTTCACCAAGACATCAGTACACAGACGGTCCCTTCCTGGGACCCTAAATACAGCCACCAGAACACCTCAATAAGCAGGTCAGGGTGCCTCACCATGAACCTTGCACATCTCAGGACTGGCCTGGTGGCCTGGGAGTTTCCACAGATTGCACAGGGGGGTTTCAGCTGGGCATTTACAGCTTTAAAAGCCCTCCCCTGGCTGCCTCTACACCTTCTGTGACATCCTGCCAGGTGTATATCCTGGTGCACGCTCTGACTGACCACGGCCCTCGGGGGTCTGCTGGGAACACACACACACACACACACACACACACACACACACACAAGCACAGCTGTGAGAGGAGGGGGAGGGCAGAGAGAGAATACGGGGCGTGAGAGCTGGTCACAGGGCCCTCAGCAGGAAACACACCTGCTGTGAATCCAGTTGAGCTACTGGAGGTCTTCTGGCTGCTTCTGGAAACTGATGCTGGCATAGGCGCTTAGATCTTCGCTGGCACGGCGAGTCAAGCTGCTCTCACTACTGCTGCCAAGGGGCTGCCGATGAGAGGGTCGCTCTGGGGCGGGCCGCGGGGCTGGGGGTCGCTCCGGAGCGCGCTGTTGAAAGTCCTTGACCAAATCCAGGTCTATGTAGTTAAGACCATTCTCGAAGCCCCTCGAAGTCCCTCCACACACCTGGGCTGGCTCCTTGGGGACTCCTCCAAACTCCCCAGGCCTCAGCCACATGTTCTCAAAGGAGGCAGAGCTGTGGCGCTTGGGATCCTCACCACTGCAGCCACCATAGCTGCTGCCATTGACACCGCCTCCCGCAGCACCCCCTCCGAAGGGCACCACGTTGCCTGCCCTGGTGGCAGTGGGTGCCGAGGAGAAGGTCTCGGAGCTGTGCCTCCTCCGGCACCCCTGCGGGTCCGCACGGATAACTTTGGCACTCTGGTTGTGATTGGGGCTGAGGTGTAGCCCGGTGAAAGCGCTCAGGCCCCCAGAGCCCGGAGGGCCCCCGAGCAGCGAAGGGCGGGCAGCCAGTCCAGCAGCTCCTTGAGGTGCAGTGGGGGAGGTCGAGGCTGCGGAGGTTGAGGAGGGGGCCGCCGCTGTGGCTCCGGGGAGGCTCATGTCCTCTACAGCCAGGCCCGTCCGCATGTCAGCATAGCTGACAGGGGCCACCGGCGACGTATCCACGTAGCTCTGCCGCGAACAGCCCACCTGCATGGTCATGTAGTCCCCGCGGCTGCTGGGCACGGCCCGCGTGGGCCTGCACACGCTCACAGACCCGGGAGGCGCAGGGCCCACTCGGCCCACGTCCATGCCGCCGCTTTCCTGCCAGGCTGCCCTCCGACCAGGCCCCAAATCCATGTTCATGTACTCCTCAGCACCAGTCTCTTCCTCCGGGGGCACTGGCTGGAGCTGGGCTGGGCAATTTACGGAAGGCAAGCTGTGTGAAGCCACAGGGCCAGACAGGTAGCCAGGCTGGCCACTGCCAAATTCAATATTCACATACTCCCCTGGGCTCTTGGGCTCTTGCGGTTGCTCACGGGCCCGGGGTAAGGTGCTGGCTTTAGGATCCCCCAGAGATAGCCTAGTGGGCCGGGCCAGGCGGCTGTTGGTCTGAGCGGCCATGTCCACCTTTCGAGGCAGATGGGGTTGCAGGACCTGATGGTGGAGAGGCGGGTGGCCAGGCTCGGGCCGCGGGCCACAGTAGCCCCCTCCCAGGCTGTCACTGCTGGTGGAGGAGGAAGAGTCTTCGGCGGCTGCAGCATAGAGAAGGCGGCCGGAGCTGGCGGAGAGGCGGAGGTGCTGGTGCCTCGCACCTTCCTCTGGCTCCCCTGGGCGCTGGGTGTGCTTAAAGGACCTTGGCAAAGAGTAGTAGGAGAGGACCAGCTTGTGCTGGGGGTCCTCGGGGCCGTAGTAGCAATCGGAGGGGCTGCTGGTGTTGGAGTCCCCCATGTTCATGTAGTCACCTGCACAAGGCAGGATCTTGCATCCGCTGCTCTCCGCGGCTGGTTGTGGGTGAGGGAGGGCGTGCGAATGGGGCCCCCCCACCACATTTGTCCACAGCTTCCCAAAGCTGCTCGAGGAAGGGACAACGCCGCTGCTGCCACCGGGACCCCCTCCGGTGTCGGGGGAGCAGCTGCCACTGGGGGACATCATCATGTAGCCATTGGGGTCGATTCTCTGCGGGTGGCGCCTGATGGGGTTGATGATCTGCTGTGGGGCAGACACGCTCTTGGGGCTCATGGGCATATAGTCGCTGCCCTTTCGGCTGCTGGGCACTGGGGCCACCCCCGGGGACATGGGCATGTAGCCATCGTCCGGGTGGAGGGCTGTGGTGGTGTCCGGGCGCTGCTGGCCCCCACGCTGCATTTCCAACCCTTCCTCTGGGTAGGAGTGCGTGGGCACAAAGGCGGAGTGCCGGTAGCTGGGCAGTCGGCCTCCGCTGCCCCCTCCTGGTGGGTAGGCAGGCATCATCTCGGTATATTCCTCGATGGACGCCACTGAGGACTGGGACGGGGTCTTCTGGTGAGAGATGGTGGGGGACGTGCCCGCAGAGTGAGTCCTCTTTCGGAAGCGGTTCTCCAAGTCCGCCACACTGGCCGCCTCGTCCGCAGTCAGCGCAGGGCTCGTGCCCAGGCTGGCTCCTGGGCCGCCGCGATGGCCACAGCCGCCCCGAGCCAGGATGTAGTGACCGTTGGGGGCGGTCAGCGTGGAGGCCCCCTTGCCACCCATGCAGATATAGTTGCTCAGCTCCTCCTCGCAGCGAGCCGGCGGGGTGTGGCCCAGGGAATCCGGTGTGACGCTGCGGAAGGAACTGCGGAAATCGCACGGGCTAGAGCCATACTCATCCGAGGAAATGAACCCGCCATCGCTGGGGGAGCCGGACACCGAGGCACTGGACCGCCGGGGGAAGAGGCAGTCTGAAGTGGAGCCGTGGCCACTGGTGCTGCTGGACGACAGGCTGACCGGGCTGGTGGCCGAGGGCGAGCAGCGAGAAGTCGGCATGGGGATGGAGCGGCTGTGGTTGAGCGGAGGGTGCAGCCGGGAGCTGGCCCGATGGCGGTGCGCGTGGGCCCTGTTGGTGCTGGGACTCACAGGGCTGCCGTCCACGGAGGCCGGCCGCGACATGGTGCCTTCGCCATCGCTGGAGGCGCGCACGCGGAAGGAGCCGGGTTTCCCGCCCACCATGCTGGCTGGGGAGGTGGCGGTGATGCTCTCGGTACGGGAGCGACGCGTCAGGCCCACCTGGCTGGGCGGGGGGTTGTTGAGGTGGTGGCGGCGCAAGGGGACGCTGATGGGATTGGAACAGTTGGAGGAGGACTGGCTCTTGCTGCGAGGGCGGAACTCATCGCTCATAGCCCGCATGGCCTCCAGGATGGTCTCGTGCATGTTCTGCGCCACCACCGAGTCATCCACCTGCATCCAAAACTCCCCCGGGCCGGTCACAGCAGAGCGGCCCACCTCGATGAAGAAGAAGTTCTCCGAGTGGCCGCAGCGGCGGATGTTCATCAGTTGGAGCACCACGGCGGCCGCCTCGGAGTTGAGCTTCACGAAGCTGATGGTCTTGCTGGTCAGGCAGAGGCGATAGATGCCAACCAGGTTCTTTGTCTGTCCCAGGCCCTTGGGCTTCAGCACCACCTGCCAGACCTCCTTGAAGGCAGGGCCCGGGGGCACGTCCCCATAGCTCAAGTCCTCCCCAGCCTCCCCCAGGCAGGCGCTGCCGCTGCAGCTGCCTCCCCCGCCTCCCAGCCCCGGCGCCTGAGCCCCGTCGTGGTGGCTCTTGGCCCGGTTGTGCAGCTGCAGCAGGGCCTGGTACCAGCTCTCCTGCTCCGCCTCGCTGTCGGCCGCGATGGCAAAGTGCTCGTCGCGGGTGTAGAGAGCCACGAGGTGCTTGTTCTTGGAGTCCGCCCTCTTGTTGATGTTGAAACAGCTTTCGAGGGGGATGGAGCGTTTGGGGGCGCTCGACTTGTGCCGCCACTTCTTCTCGTTCTCGTAGTACTCGAGGCGCGCAGGGCCCCCCGCCTCGCTGGCCGCTCGCAGCACGAAGAAGCGCTTGTGCATGCTCTTGGGTTTGCGCAGGTAGCCCACCTTGCGCACGTCCGAGAAGCCGTCGGTCTCTGGAGGGCTCGCCATGCTGCCGCGGCTGCCGCCACCCCTGCTGCCGCTGCCGCCGCCGCCACCGCCGCCGCCGCCACTCAGAGGGAGGCGCGGACAACCAAGCGGGTGGGGGGCGGAGGCTCCGCACCGCGGACCCGCACATGCAAACAGGGCCGGAGGCAACAGGAACGCTGAAGCCGAAGCCGGATCCACGCCGCCCCCAGCGCGAAGAGGAGCAGCAGGGAAGCGGGCAGCGGCGGCGCCGGGGAGCTAGCCTGGACCTGGGTTCACGGGCTTCTCATGCCCGGAGGGGAGGCGGTGCGCGCTGGGCCAGGGCAGCCCCGATCCTCCCAGAGCCGAGTCCCCGCTCGGCCGCCGCCGCTGGGAAGGGGCGCAAAGGCATAGCTGGCAGTCCAGGCGGCTGCGGGGAGTCCTGGCGCTGCCCCTCCAGGCGCGCGCGCCTTCTCTCCTGAGTTCCCCTCTGGAAGTGGCGATTCCCGAGGCAAATTAAATATCCTCGGGCAGGGGGAGGCGGGCTGCCAAGTCCCAATGCTGCACAGGGTTCTCTCTCCTCCTCCTCCTCCGCCGCCTCCGCCTCCTCCCACCCCCAACCGGCCCCGCCGCCACCAGCCGCCCAAATACCAGCTCAGTCGCGGAGACCGCGGCGCTGCGGCTGTTGCTGCGGCCGCCGCCCGCGGCCGTGTCCTCTGCAGCCCCCGTTCGGGCCCATGTCGGCGGGCGGAGCGAGGGACTTGTCCACGCGAAATGCTGCCAGGCAGCCAGGGGAGCCGAGGCCGGGCCGGAGGGCCAGGCTCATCCCGGTCCCTGGCTGCAGTGGGCCGGAGAGGTTTGGGAAGGGGCCGGGAGGACGCCTCTGGCCCGGGAGGCGCTGCCGCTGCAGTGACTTCTCCCCTCCTGCTCCTCCTGCTCCTCCTCCTCCTCCACCTCCTCCTCCTCCTCGGAGAGTTGCCGAGAGCCCCAACCAAAACAAGCGGCGGCGTCTGGCTCCGCACGCCTGCCCCTCCGACCGCGCCGCCGGCTCACTCGGAGGGAAAAACACGTGACGGAGCCTTGGCG